AGTGACAAATTCCTACTTATTCCTCAAGTTCTATCTGATTTTACTTAATTTCAAAACTTTGCAGACTAACGTAATTGACCCCTGCTTGTGTGTTTCCACAGCACTTAGCACAAATTCTTTTTGCGCCATCTCATTAAATTATAGTTTCTTGTAAATAAATCTGTTTATAACACTAGGTTACAAGATCTGAGAGGATAATAGTTTTGTCTTATTCATCATTGTATCTGTTGTTATATAGCACAGCATCTGGCACATAGCTTATTTGACTTACATAAAAAAATTATTATCTTTAATTCCTTGAGACTGCTTTCGTTTCTAAATCTCAGTCAGTGAGTCTAAACTGGCTAAGGAAAGCATAGAAAACACTAGATGATAAATTACTTAAAACACACACATAGAAACATAATATTCAAACTATTCTGGAATGTTCCATTGTTTTGTGAGTCACTATTTAATTCATGGAAAACAACACATTGTCAAGTGTATTTCTTTATTTATTTGCATTTTTAACATCCTGCCTATTCCAAAAGAATTTCCGGCAGCTTATCACAAGAATGCATGCACTTAAATTGTAATCAAATAAATAGAAAAAGAAGTAGGAAATCAGGAAGAAGAAAAATAGACCAGTAGGCCTGCACATGAGCTGTAGTCTATAGCTATAGTATTTGAGCTTCAAATTCTGAGTTTCTTGGTGACCAAAATAACACAAAAAAGGGGAAGTTATTTTTCTTGAGTCAAAAATGGAAATAACTTTTCTCAGAGAATAGCTTTTCCTTACACTGAAATCACTATTTTTTTACACACAAAATGTCATGTGGGTTTTCTATTAGGGAAAGCTGGGTGCTATAGCAAGTAATGTCAATTTTTTCCCAATAAACGCAGTAATGAATTTCATATTGATGTTTCTTGTAGTCCCCTTCAATAAAAGCTGAAGGCATTACATTAACATACAACTCAGTGAAGGCAATTCTTCAAGGATCTAAGCTAATATGGTCCAAGTATATAGCTTTCTCATGGCCCAATTTAATCCAAGGAAAGACTTTAGAGTACTTAGAGAAGTGGATGGACTGTTTAACCTTCAAACAATCTTCTGTAAGTATCACTTTTCTCAGTCAGGATGGTTAGCAGACAGTTAACAGTAGCATTATCTGACCAGGGAGCATGTTGTTTTTACAAGTAAGAGGCTTTCTAGTAGCCACAATAACTGTAAAAAGGCAACATGGTATGGTAGAAAGAGCATCAATTTGCACTTTGGAGACCTGGGTTTTTCTACAAAGCTTGTTGTATTCAGTGTTTGATATGAGAGCCCCATTTCCTTTTTGTAAAGGCCATTCTCTAAGTTTCTTTCTAACCCTGAAAGCACGCGATTGTTGTTTTCATTCATGTGCCAGAGCTCTTCACCAATAGGTGTCTATATTTTAGCTAGAGCATTTGCTCAAGTTATTATCACATTATTTTCTCTATCATTCAAAGGAAGCCAAGATTGGTCTGCCATCATGGTGTAAGACATTTTGATTTCTATAATATCCAGAGATTCTATTAAATAATAAACTCAAAACATTCTGAATCCTGTAAAGCATAATTTTAAAAATACTAAATCAATTAGTGTGGGTAGTATTCCCTTTTCATTCCACCTCAGTGACAACCAAACTGTCAGAAAACTATAACAACATAGTTTATTCTCTCCCCCACCTCAGATATTGTATAAAAATACATCGTTTATTGATTTTGTTTACAAGACACACCCCTTCCCCCTTTCCATTTCTATGGGTCTCAATCACAAGTAAAACTACTTCCACAGGCAGTGTTTTTCTAGCTGAGATTATTTTATTAGTTACCAGTCTTCCACATTTGCAGATGGTGAAATTGAGGACTTTCAGGATAATTATGTAATAGAACTGTAGAATAAGCTATTGAATTCTGTTTCTATTAGTCTAGTAAAGTATTTATTTTATTCTATAAAACGTATCTCTTATATATACATTTGTATCATAGTAATCATTCTAGAATATGCCATTCATTTTTCATTAAGCAAATATTTTTTGAGCCTGCTCTGTGCTAGGAACAGTGCATGGAGCTCTCTGCAGGACACAGTCTGTGCCTTCAAGGTATTTACAACTAAGTAAAAGGAAAAATACATATATGTGTCATTATAGAGGCAAGCACCGGGGTGGTGGGGAAGGGAATAGAAGAGCTGTTTAATGTCCACAGTAGGAGGTGATGTCTCAATAGATGTGACTCAGAGCTGAGCCAGTGTTTGCCTGGTTATAGTAAGGAGATTGAATGTATCTGACATGGAGACCAATGTGGAGTTAATTACCAGTTCTTGGTTGGATTGTGGTACTCTTCACAGGTTAGGGAGTACAGGAGGGTGTATAATTTGGGCAGGAAGTGAGAGTGAATTGAAGCTAAGTGCGTTTCTGGATATTTTATGTCTTAATTACCTGTGGGACATGTAGGTGAAGAAGTCTAGTCTAGTCTAGTAGTTAAGAATTCTTGAGAGGTATTGTATCAACCATCCATGTAGAGGTATCAAAAGCCATAACAGTCACTTAAAATTAATAGAAACTAGCAGTTTGCTTTCATTTTCCCCATTCTCCTTCCAATCGATTCCATTCATATCTTTTACCATTACTATTTTTTTTTTTTTACTTCACAAACCCAGTTTATGTTTGTGTATATTTTCAGCCGTACATGACCCTATTTTTCAAATTATATGAAGTGGCCTAAGTGCCTTAAAGCAGAAAAATAGCATTGCATTAAATGAGGTGGTAGGAACTATCAGAACTTTTCTTTTTCTAAAAAAACAAAAATTGTGTATAAACATGGGAATTAAAAAAAAAAAAAAAACCCTTCATGGCAGTGAGTACTGTTTTGCAACGATGGGTTTCATTGAGCTATTTTTCTTCAAGGGTCTGAGTATAAGCCAAGGGTTACATTAAGTAAAATAAAATCATTCTGGAGGGGTCAAAGTCATGTGGCCTAAGTAGCCAGCCTGCTAATCGTATGGCTTGATCCAAGGCCTGAATTATATTCAAAGAGATCTCTGTAGTACAATTTTTCTTAATATAGTTCTTTTCCAGAGAAATTGGTAGTAAATAGCACAAGGTATCATCTCCTGATAATTGTTTGAAGTACAAATATTTTTTGGTACTATCACTAGCAAATCATTGTCTTATAAAGAACAAGAATAAAATATATTATGTGGACTAAATCTGTATATTTTCCTTTAGAAGATCTTAGAATTATAAGTCAGCTATGAGTTCAACAGTAATTGAACTATACACATGATTTTAAACAAAGAGGAACAGTTTGCTTTACTGTAGATCTGTGGTTATTACTTTCAAATGGCTGAGGAGAGTTATTTTCTCCCTCAAAACAAGACTTTGTAAGATTCTGAGCCAGAAAAGCTTTGCTGTGTTCTGGCTAGGAATGGAGGAGATGTGGCACCATCTGGATGCCTGGCCTTCATTCAAAGAGCTGGTAAGAAATTACATGTGCCAACTGCTGGGTTCTTCACTAAAGATAGTACTTGTGGCTATTGCACTTTACCTACTACTTGTCCTGAAACTGGTTAAGTTCCCAAGTTCCAAGGAAGCACTTTGAAGCCAAAACCATCACCTTGTTAAGTGCTGAGCCCACCTCTGAAGTTTACACTTTCATTCAGAAATTGAGGCTGTACTTTGAAAAATGAAGAAAAAAATAAGACAAATTTTGTCCCTTATAACTAAGCCAATAAAAATTACAGATATATATTGGAAAAACTTTTAACACTGCATTTTAAAGAGTCCAAGTGTTAGGATGAAACAACAACAACAAAAAGCCCATCAAGTTTCTGTCTGTAGACTCCTGTTGCAACAAAGGACCTTTACACTTTGTTTCTTTATCTAAATGTCTTAATCTTACACCATAATTCCTAGTGCAATTTAAATGTCCCACTTCCATAAAACCTTCCTTGATTTCTTCCACACAGTGTTTATGTTGAAGAAGTTCTTCAAAAGACATAATAAAGTTCATTACATATACATCTTGTATGCCAGTAATCAGTGTCTAACTTGTAATAGTTATGATCATCACTGCACTCCACTAGGAGAATATAGGTTTTTCAATGTAGTAAGAATATACATTAGTTTATTGTTATCGCAGCCATTCCGTTTGGCTTTGGTATCATTATCTCTCTTTTTTCAAACTAGAATCTGAAGCAGGGAGAGGTTAAGAACTTTCCCAAGGCCAAAATTCTCTAGAAATGTAATTTGATATTGTTTTAAATGATGTTTAGATACAATCAAAATAATTATATAAACACTATATATTATATAATTTATTAGTTAAAGAGTCCTTGAAGACTTGGTGATATAAACCTTAAATAGGATATTTTAGGAAAAAGTACTCCCAAGTTTCAGACGGCTTCCCCAGTGAGAAAGTTATATAGCATGGTGTTTAAAGGCAGTGGTTTGGAAGTCAGACACATCTATGTTTTTGTGCTTTTACAGCCCTTTATTAGACAGGAGACCTGGGTCAAGTTATGAAACCTCATTAGCCTCCATTTATGAATTTATAACATGGGATTAATAAATAAGACTTGTCAGAGATGATATCTCAGCTTAACACTGGTCACATTCTAGTGCTCAAAAGGTGTTAGCATCATGTGCTTATACACTTGGAGATTATCCTCCATTTGTAACATAGGATCTACGTGAATCTTCACTGGAGAAGAGCTGTTTTATGGATTTTGTAAACTTACAAATGGTAATCCTTCATCCTTCCTTCTTTTATACTCCAGCCAGATCTGGAAGAATATCTTGTCAGCAAAAGAAAAAGGAGATGGAGAAATTCACTCAAAGAGGGATAGATAATCCAGGCCTGTTTTCAGATCCTCCTGAGCTTTCAGAGCTCCTTTCTTATCTTATTTAATTCAAATATTTAAAAAATTCTTAAAATAACTGATTGCTGGCCCAATTTTCCTTGCATTTAGATGACTAACAATATATTTGTTTTAGTATAGAAACATAGAAAAATACTACTTATGTCTTCAGGTTTCATGAATGCAGTTAGTATTAGGTGTCTACATCGTGAAAGGATTCATGCTAAGTGCCAAGGTTACAAAGGTAAACAAGACACAAGCACCAGCCTTCATCGACCTTAGATTGAGAAAGGAAGATGTCCATCAAATGATCACAAGGCTAAGAAAGAATTTACACATTTTGAAAAATACCAATGACAGAAACAAATTTGAGTGCTATGAAAGAGCATGTTAGGTGGACAAAGGCTACGTTAGATAGAGTGATTAGAGAAGGCCTTTCTGAGGAAATGGCATTTAAAACAAGACCAAAATGTGAGAGGGGATTGGCCTGGTATGAGGCTGGGTAATTAGCATGGCCAAAGGCACCAAAGCAAGGAAGTATTATGAAAACTGAAGTTATGTCAGTGAAATCAGTACGTAACGAGTAAAGTCAGGAATAAGGAAAGGAAAGAAGCCATGGTAAGAAATGCCTTTATTCTAAGTTCCATAAGATAGTATTTAAGAGATTTAAGCATAGTTGTGCCATAATCCAATTTATGTCTTTAAAAGATCCCTGTGTGTCAAATGATTGCGCAAGTTCAAGCCAAGCTGGAAGAGCACAAAGGAGTAGTGCTTGGTCCAGGTAGGAAAGTGACCTAGATAATAGGTAGTGATAACTGAACAGGAAATTATAAAGTAGAACAGGTTGGGAGTGAGCTAGGGAAAAATTCAGTGGTTCATATTCCATTTTCCTTCTACATTTTTAGTATTTTTTACACTATCATCTGCATAATATTATAATTTCCCACCATCTGAGTAAAATATTACTGCATGATTTTGACATGGGGGGGGTGTGGATCCTGTTAAAAAGTTACAAATTTTTGATCATTCATTGTAGATCATTTCTCTTGTTGAAATATTTCTACATTTCACTTTTTCATTCACTCATTCATTCAAAGAATATGTGAGTAACTCATAAGAGTAAAAAAAAAAATTGTGTTGTTTATAGAAGTTGTATTTTTCTATTGTTTATTTTCCATGTAAATAACACAAAAATATTCTCCAGGAAAATGGTACCAATGATTTTGCTTTGGGGGTTTCCTCACCCTAACAGTTTTAGGATTTAATAAACTCCTTTTATTTATTTCTCTAAATTTCTTTTTTCTAGTGGATAATGATGTTAATCAGGGCACTTTTCCTCAGAATTTGAAATGGAGTTTGGGAAATGTTAAGTAGCCGACTCAGCCTGCTCTCTGTTAATTCTTGTATTTTTCACTAGAAAAAAGAGAAAACCTCTGTCATGATACAGAACAATGCTTATGCGGTGGCCGTTGCCAATTATGCCCCGAATCTTTCAAAAGATCCAGTTCTCTCCACCATCTCCAAGAGTGCAACCACACCAGAGCCCAATAAGAAGCCGGAAAACAAGCCAGCTGAAGCCAAGAAAACCTTCAACAGTGTTAGCAAAATTGACAGAATGTCTAGAATAGTTTTCCCGGTTTTGTTTGGTACATTTAATTTAGTTTACTGGGCTACTTATTTAAACAGGGAGCCTGTATTAGGGGTCAGTCCTTGAATCTAGACACAGGTTATCATTGGGATGTATGGCAACATTAAACTTGGTTTGTTTTGCTATGTACAGTCCGACTAATAACTGCTAATTTGTGAACCTACATGTACAGTATGTATATAGCGATATAGCTTACCAGTAAACCCTCAATGGAGACATGCATTTGCTAACTCATGGAACTGCTGGCAGATAGCACCCCACGCCAGTAGAGCCATTGCCTTGTCTAAAGATTTACCCTACAACCTGGTTTAAAGTGGATTTCAGCTTACCTGATTTATTTCCTATTCTTCTAATAGCAATGAAAGTGGAGAGACAAGACCACCCTTTTGATTTAGTTAGGTCTTAAGAAGGAGTATTTTCTTCTGTTTCTTAATTATAATAGAAGATAACTTTGTCGTTCAAAGATGAATTCTTCTAAATAACAACCTCATATCTACAACATCAGTTCCCTCCATGAGTACTCAGAATCCCTGCTAGTACAATTGGAAGTTTGACACACATAATAAGAAAAACCAGAGATTAGAAATCAGCTTTTAATTACTCTATATAGTATCTAGAATCAGGTACATATTATAGCATGACAAGCTCAAATAAGTATGATTCACCCCAACAGGACGTTAATTATATAGACAATTTAACAACTACTGGAATGTCATGGTCATTACATTTTTAGCTTCAGAGTTTGTTTGAAAGTAATAATTAAAATCCTACAATTTACTTCGATCATTGGAAACTACCTTAAATTAAAAAAAAAAAAAAGACAGTAAATGTGTCTTTCCAGGTATGTGTTGTATTGAAATTGATCAGCTGAATTTTCTTGGTGCTGGAGACTGGAAAAAGCATCCAGTTTGGCTGCTGTGGAGCAACATTCATATTGGATTAGAAAACTGTGCCAAAAACTCCCACTGATGAGATTCATAGGTGTCCCAAACTGTAGATGAGCACTTGTATGATTCTCTTCTTTCCTGTTTACTGCAAATTCTGCCTTAAGGCTTCTTTTCATCAGGACTCAGAAGCCACTAATTATAAAGGAAAGGGCAGTTAATTGGCACATTTTTCTGTCTTGAGAGCAGCTTTTTCAGATAAGAATTAATGTAAATCTGCTTTTGTAAATTGCAACTTTAAATTTCATTGTCTCAAATTTACAACAGCTTTGTATACCAGAAAAGGTTTTGGTAAGAGTTGAACATTTTTAAACTGCAGCTTTAAAACATCACCAACAGATTATGGATTATTTCACATGCACAAACACAGACACACAGATACACACAAACACGTAGCTAAGTTAGAAAACACACCTTCCAATTTTATATAAGTACTAATTATTAATGGGTAAAATTCATTTTTCCTTTAATATTTTAAAAATACTGTTTATGCCCCTGAAATATGCTAATAAAAGTTAACAATTGTGTATCATGCCTAGATTCAAAGTTTTTGGCAAGCCTAAAGTACTTTTGATTGACATGTACATTAGCAGTTATTAGTTGACTTTTACTAATAGATGCACCATTATGATGGTGTTTTTGTAGAAATATAGTAGTCAAATAGTGGCATTTCTTGCAGTTTTGTACAGTATTTTAGTATAGTGCATAAATAGGTATGTTCATAAAATCAATAAAAGGAATACCTTATGGAAATAAGCAAAATTCAACAAAAGTTGCTATTCCTTTTGCCTCGTTTAAATTTTTTTTCATTTTCTTTTTGTTTTTGTGTGATTCTATTATGTGCTTTGCATGATTGTATTAATACCAAGGTCACAAATGCATCTTATTAACAGAATTTGCCGTGAAGACGTCCTTGACATTAAAAATTCCCTCGCAAAAGGTAATCCATAATCCTTAATAAAATAAAATTGTTATATGAGCCAACAAATGTATTTCTTTAATTCCCTTCTGATAACATCTTCTTTGTCATCTAAATACTGTAGTTTTATAATGTGCACTTTATTCATAGATTTAAATAGAGATATTCTATTTTCTTACACATTTAAATATAGCAAAGTTCTTTGTAGTTTAGGGAAGTATGCAATAATAGGAGAAAGTACACAATGCTTGAAGGCAAACAATAAAAATGCTTTGTGTGGTTTGCGTTATTAGATACTTTATGAATGTTTTCCTTTTAAGGTCTGCATTGCCCCTTAATGGCTGACTTTGAATTATAAATTTATAAATATGTACATATGTAAAAATAGTTGAAAATAACAGTTTCTGTACGACAATGGAAAATACTACCTTGGGCAAAGAGCTGCAACCACATTGATGACACCAGTTTTATTAGCATTTATAGCAGATTGACCAGAAAACCTGTTATCCTTATTGTTATTTGTATTATTAATTTTAACTGTTAAAATCTTATTTGAACCTGCTGACATTCTGACAGATTGGATTTTCCAGTAGTATGGATCAGAGTTTTCTGTTAGTTCTCTAATTTCAATATACTTTTTACAGACTTCTTACTATTTTAAAGTTTAGAAAAATCAAAAGAGCTTTGTTCTTTCTAGAGGGAGGATGCTATGGAAATGAATTTTAAATTATAGAACCAGAGTCTTTACAATTATTCTCCCTTCTGTAAACCAGTTAAAACACAAAATAAAAATGACTTGAATTTATCAAATAAGTAATTTATCAAAATAAGGCCAATTTTCAGGAAATACATTTTTTATATACAAAGTTAGCTTCTTTGACCCATAAAATTACACCTATTTTATGCAGCTGTACGATGACATAAAGAGTTAAGGTATGTACAAAATGTAGATAAATATATGTACATATATAGGGATATAATCTCATTATTGTATAGCTACTACTCTGATTCAACTAATATTTATTCAACAATTTTTTTTTTACCTTCTACTATGTGCCATTCCCTGAAGTTGCTGTCAGTATCACTCATATTATACCCACAGAATTTAGTTGAAAATTGAAGTGCGACTCATTTTTACAAAGACTTAAAATTAAGGACTAAAGGAAACATGTAAATTAACTTAGTACTGAGAGTTGTTTACCACTAGTTGCTAAGATGGTGGCTGTTTTGCTCTTTTCTGCTATCCATGACCCTGTGTGTTTGAATATAAAAGTGGAACTAACATAAACATTTAAATTTTTTTTAAAAAATGTCAGTGATTTTTTAAGTGCCAATGGTAATGTTTAGAAAATTTTTTCAGGGATCTCTCTATTTTGAATTTATCTCAGGTTTGGATAAGTGATCCCCATGAGCCATGTTTCTAATTTTTTTTTTCTTGAGTAGCTTATAGCTTATTTAAAATATAACCGAAGCTATTATTTCACTACTTTTTTGTCTGGTAAATATATTTGATATATATTTTCTAAATAGGTCCTTCCTGTTATTAGTCTTCTGGCACTCTTACCTTCTTTTGAAAAAATTGCCAATTTTTTTCATATGAAAAGATTCAGAATTTAAAAGGTATCATGACCCATTGCTTTCCCATAGTAAAATCCTTATAGTTTCCTTTTAATTGAGGTCCCATGAGCATTTTGTGCTTCCCTTTTATTAATCCAAATCATACAAAAGAATAAAATTTAAACTGACGATGGGTAATTATTTTTAACATTTGCATGCTTGGGAACCTTGGACCGTGTAACAAAACTACTTTTAACAGTGTAGATAAGACAAATTATGATATTATTCTCTATTGAATTCATGCTTTAAAAAAAAGCCAGTATCTAATAATATTATTTAATATCCATAATATTTTGCTATCAAAATTTGTATTAAAGATATTAATATTTTTCATCAATATTTAAGAGCTTATATTTTCATCAAATTCAAAGAAAGAAACAGGAAAAGAATATTAAAGAGAAGAACCCACAGGAAAAATGAGGCTGTTGCTAATTAAACCAAGTGAAGCATTTTTCCTTTTTAACTCCCTTGAAAGTGAATAAATTATAAATACATATAAATACTAAAATATTTTCACTTTCATGATTCTATTATGGTAAATAAGCATCATGACTGAAATACTAAAATGAACAAAGGTCATGTAAAAGACATTTGGGAAAATAATAAATTATTCAAACTATTTTTATAAGAAGTATGTATCATGTTTTTTGTTAAAATTCTTAATTATCAACATAGTTAAACCACTGTGTCTTCCATTTTATTTCACTGAAATATTTTATTTTTGTTTGTTTATATAAAGAACAGCTTCTTATATAGGTAATTATATACAAGTATATACCCCACCTCAAACCTCTCTTCACTATATCTAATACATAACATCAACTTATATTGCCAGTAGGGAACAACAATTAACATGTTTATGTTTTGGTTTATAGTAATAATCCCAAAGAACCTTTAATAAGGTCATAGCTTTGTGTGTGTGTGTGTGTATGTGCNCCCTGTGTGTCAAATGATTGCGCAAGTTCAAGCCAAGCTGGAAGAGCACAAAGGAGTAGTGCTTGGTCCAGGTAGGAAAGTGACCTAGATAATAGGTAGTGATAACTGAACAGGAAATTATAAAGTAGAACAGGTTGGGAGTGAGCTAGGGAAAAATTCAGTGGTTCATATTCCATTTTCCTTCTACATTTTTAGTATTTTTTACACTATCATCTGCATAATATTATAATTTCCCACCATCTGAGTAAAATATTACTGCATGATTTTGACATGGGGGGGGTGTGGATCCTGTTAAAAAGTTACAAATTTTTGATCATTCATTGTAGATCATTTCTCTTGTTGAAATATTTCTACATTTCACTTTTTCATTCACTCATTCATTCAAAAAATATGTGAGTAACTCATAAGAGTAAAAAAAAAATTGTGTTGTTTATAGAAGTTGTATTTTTCTATTGTTTATTTTCCATGTAAATAACACAAAAATATTCTCCAGGAAAATGGTACCAATGATTTTGCTTTGGGGGTTTCCTCACCCTAACAGTTTTAGGATTTAATAAACTCCTTTTATTTATTTCTCTAAATTTCTTTTTTCTAGTGGATAATGATGTTAATCAGGGCACTTTTCCTCAGAATTTGAAATGGAGTTTGGGAAATGTTAAGTAGCCGACTCAGCCTGCTCTCTGTTAATTCTTGTATTTTTCACTAGAAAAAAGAGAAAACCTCTGTGCTGAATTTTCTTGGTGCTGGAGACTGGAAAAAGCATCCAGTTTGGCTGCTGTGGAGCAACATTCATATTGGATTAGAAAACTGTGCCAAAAACTCCCACTGATGAGATTCATAGGTGTCCCAAACTGTAGATGAGCACTTGTATGATTCTCTTCTTTCCTGTTTACTGCAAATTCTGCCTTAAGGCTTCTTTTCATCAGGACTCAGAAGCCACTAATTATAAAGGAAAGGGCAGTTAATTGGCACATTTTTCTGTCTTGAGAGCAGCTTTTTCAGATAAGAATTAATGTAAATCTGCTTTTGTAAATTGCAACTTTAAATTTCATTGTCTCAAATTTACAACAGCTTTGTATACCAGAAAAGGTTTTGGTAAGAGTTGAACATTTTTAAACTGCAGCTTTAAAACATCACCAACAGATTATGGATTATTTCACATGCACAAACACAGACACACAGATACACACAAACACGTAGCTAAGTTAGAAAACACACCTTCCAATTTTATATAAGTACTAATTATTAATGGGTAAAATTCATTTTTCCTTTAATATTTTAAAAATACTGTTTATGCCCCTGAAATATGCTAATAAAAGTTAACAATTGTGTATCATGCCTAGATTCAAAGTTTTTGGCAAGCCTAAAGTACTTTTGATTGACATGTACATTAGCAGTTATTAGTTGACTTTTACTAATAGATGCACCATTATGATGGTGTTTTTGTAGAAATATAGTAGTCAAATAGTGGCATTTCTTGCAGTTTTGTACAGTATTTTAGTATAGTGCATAAATAGGTATGTTCATAAAATCAATAAAAGGAATACCTTATGGAAATAAGCAAAATTCAACAAAAGTTGCTATTCCTTTTGCCTCGTTTAAATTTTTTTTCATTTTCTTTTTGTTTTTGTGTGATTCTATTATGTGCTTTGCATGATTGTATTAATACCAAGGTCACAAATGCATCTTATTAACAGAATTTGCCGTGAAGACGTCCTTGACATTAAAAATTCCCTCGCAAAAGGTAATCCATAATCCTTAATAAAATAAAATTGTTATATGAGCCAACAAATGTATTTCTTTAATTCCCTTCTGATAACATCTTCTTTGTCATCTAAATACTGTAGTTTTATAATGTGCACTTTATTCATAGATTTAAATAGAGATATTCTATTTTCTTACACATTTAAATATAGCAAAGTTCTTTGTAGTTTAGGGAAGTATGCAATAATAGGAGAAAGTACACAATGCTTGAAGGCAAACAATAAAAATGCTTTGTGTGGTTTGCGTTATTAGATACTTTATGAATGTTTTCCTTTTAAGGTCTGCATTGCCCCTTAATGGCTGACTTTGAATTATAAATTTATAAATATGTACATATGTAAAAATAGTTGAAAATAACAGTTTCTGTACGACAATGGAAAATACTACCTTGGGCAAAGAGCTGCAACCACATTGATGACACCAGTTTTATTAGCATTTATAGCAGATTGACCAGAAAACCTGTTATCCTTATTGTTATTTGTATTATTAATTTTAACTGTTAAAATCTTATTTGAACCTGCTGACATTCTGACAGATTGGATTTTCCAGTAGTATGGATCAGAGTTTTCTGTTAGTTCTCTAATTTCAATATACTTTTTACAGACTTCTTACTATTTTAAAGTTTAGAAAAATCAAAAGAGCTTTGTTCTTTCTAGAGGGAGGATGCTATGGAAATGAATTTTAAATTATAGAACCAGAGTCTTTACAATTATTCTCCCTTCTGTAAACCAGTTAAAACACAAAATAAAAATGACTTGAATTTATCAAATAAGTAATTTATCAAAATAAGGCCAATTTTCAGGAAATACATTTTTTATATACAAAGTTAGCTTCTTTGACCCATAAAATTACACCTATTTTATGCAGCTGTACGATGACATAAAGAGTTAAGGTATGTACAAAATGTAGATAAATATATGTACATATATAGGGATATAATCTCATTATTGTATAGCTACTACTC